TTAAAATGTGTTCTATTAAATAGGATGTTCTGAATTTTGTCGATTGAAGCGACTAAAAATGTTTCGACCTAATGAGAGGTTGGGAGGGCTTTGCTCGAAGTTAATCTAGATAAATGATCGGTATCTTTTCTTGGTAAAAAGGATATTTTAAATTTTAAAGGTAATAGTCTGTTTACCCAACGGGTGAGTCGGCTATGCATCGTCTTATTCCCGTGATTTGCCGAGAGGGCGGAGAGTAGGGCTTTATGGTCCGTTACGGTTTGGAATTCTGTTCCGTAAAGATAATTCCTGAAAAGTTCGGAGGCCCACAACACGCCCAGTAGTTTTAATTCATTTGTGGACTACTTCATTTCAGGGTTATTTAATAAACTTGATGCGAAAGCAATCGTTTTCCACTGGTCCCCTTGTAGCTGTTCTGAAGTCGCATCTAGTCCCATGTGCGAGGCGTGTGTTTTCAACAAAATTTTGAAACTAAAAAAATGGCCGTGTCGAGCAAAAAGCAAACACTGAACGTAACTTCTCCTTTAGGACTGAAAACTACACTTATCTTGTAAACCCTATAAAATAGAGTGTGTTATTTTAAAATGTTATAAAAGGACAACTGAACGAACACTTTATGATCGACCGATGGTCGTATCGAACTAAGTTAACCGGTATTTAAGTAATACCGAAGGTCATTTAAAACATCTAAAAACAAATCACAACATTTCCCACCGGAGAAAAAAAATTACTAGATCACTAACAAATTCTGTATACACCCATTTTCAACCTTAAAAGTAGGAACGAAATTTTACAAAATGCGCCATGAAAAGAATAGTACAGCAAGCAAAATAGTATCTCTAAATGAATAAGGAGGTACAAATGTACAGGGTGAACATACAGAATTTACAGTTTTACAGAAATTGAGAGAAAAATAAAATAACTTAACTTAGATTGAAAGATAAACACTAATCTACAAAGAGTACAGTAAAATGACCAATTAGGATTATAAATAAAATAAAGAACGGTCGTATTTTTTTAAGTTTTAAGAGTCAGTTAAATTGTTCATCGAAATCGTCTAATTTGGCTTTTACTTCTGAGTCAATGGTCGAGAATATTTCGCTCGATTTCTCTACTACATCTAATGTGTCGTTGATTGTCGGTTGTAATGAAGAGTGCGATCTAGAGGATGTGTTTTTAAAGAGAGACATACTTGGCGTATAATTTGGTCTGTCCGATGGGCCCGATTTCTTCGATGACCAAGTCCCGGCAACCCCCATCCAACCCCCCCATCTTCGGCAACCCTCCATCTCATTAAGACTACGAATTCATATTCGCTACAATCAATAAATCAACAAAACAATAAATCCAACGGACTTTTAAAAAATGAACTGCAATGCTATTGATTAAAGTTTGGAAAATTCCGATTACGCAAGATTACATAATTACCTTATCGCTTTAGTTCTAAAACTCGTTTACTCGACTATTCCAATTTGTAACTTAAAACACAACAGAACTAAACTTTGCAACTCCAAATGTTTTTTTTTCGGATTTTTAAAATATTAAAGCTACAACTGCTTTTTTATATTTTTTAATTCTTAATAGTAGCCTAAGAAAAATTTAAGAAAATATCAATGAAAATTGGCATTAATTAAACCAGTTTATTTGATGGATTACTTTACATGGATGGAAAACTGGTAACACCTTTTACCTTAAAAAACGCAGTTATGAAGCCTAGCCATTCTATTTCTGATTCAAAAAATGCGCACTTCCGGCCATATTGTTTTTATCTAGGATTGTCGTCTATGTAACAATTTGTGAATGGCATGTTCTTCAAGAGTGCGTCCATAACCCGTTGCGATACATTGGGCATGTCCCCCAGTCCATAAAATCCAAATAAAAACCGATACGTTCCAGTTGTTTTACCGCCTACTATAATAAAATTAAACTGTTTGCTCGTTTGATCACATAGTTTGAGTTGGCTGTAAGCGTTTTTCAGATCTAGGTTGCTGAACCAAACTTGTCCGATGGATTTCTCTGAAATTTGAAGAGCCACGTTGTCTATGAGTTCAAGAATATTTGGCAATTGGTACTTATTTTTAAAAATCTGATCGTTTAGTAATTTAGAATCTAATGCCAATTTATTTGAACCATTTGTTTTTCGTGTAATCACAATCGGGCTGATAAAGCAATATTCGTCGCACTTTTCAAGCTTTTTTATGTGACCTTCGGTCTCCATACTTTTTGGTTATTCATTTACCTCTGCAAGTACGTGAAGTGGAACGATTCTCCCTTTGGCCTGCACTGGTTTAAACGGTGAGTGGAAGTGGGTTACTTTGTGTTCGTTGGGTATTTTTCCCACTCTAGTGAATAATGCTTTGAACTCACCCGATATCTTGTCTTTTAAAGAAAGCAGACTTGTGCACTTACTCTCAAATGATGGTTGGTTGATTACCCAGATTGGCTAGGGGCATTTCTTCTATGTCACTTCTATGCCTAACTTGGGTAGGTTGCCATTCCCCAGGATGTTTTGTTCATGGCCGCCTGTTATGAAGAACGGTGTTTCTTCCCTGATCCACCCATTGGATTTTGTCCTCACTATAATCTTTCCTAGGATGTTGATCGTAGGAAATACAAGTCTTTAATCTGCTTCTCCACTGGGTAAGTTTTCAGGTTCGGGTATCTTAGTTTGATCTCGTGCAACACATTTTGTTTTTAAAAATTTACAGGGCTTGCTGAGTCTACTGATATGTTCATATTTACAATCATCTCCCAACCCAGGCTTATGTTCAGAAGTTTCTTCGTTTCTTGTCCTTTTTGTCGTAAATTGTTCTCACGCTCAGTATTGAGAAGTCGCCATCGTCGCTCTGCCCGTATTCGTTCCAGGCGTTTATCGCGTCACAAGATTCTTGATTTTCGCCCCACGAGCTTTCCGGAGAGACGTATGTACAGTTCTCAGAATTTACATAATTATCATCAACAGTATTTATAGTGGGTCGTTTGTTACGGGATTTACATAGTTTGGCGAAGTGTCCTTGGTAATTACAATTTTTACAAGTTATGTCCTTCGCTAGGCAGACGTTCAGGTGCCCTTTCGTAAATGCATTCCCACATTGCATGCACGTGTTGCTACGTTCTATATTAAGACTCAATTCCTTCTTGATCTGATTATGATTGTTAAAAGATTTAAAAGACGTTCAATTGGTCGATGATCGTACCATATTTGTCAATTGTTGATGATTAAAATATCCCTTTTCATCGATCAAAGCTTGGTTGAGTGCTTCCGTCGGACTTATAGTGACTGAAAGTAGTTTCCTTTGGGTGTCTGTGTTTCTCATATTGCAGATGAAAACATCCCCTATCCATTCCGCCTCGTCATTTTCCTTTATGTTACACGTACTCGCCAAGTCCGTTAGAGCTCCCCAGAATTGCTCGTATGATTCCCGGTCTTTCTGTTTTAGATTCAATAATTTATACCTCTCAAAGGTTGTGTTGGGCGGTTTGTCGAAAGCTGCGTCAAGTAGGGTCCAGAACTCTGTGAAGGAGATGGTTAAAATCTTGACCCTTGGGATCTTTTGCGTGAAGACTCTTTTTCCTCCGCTCCCTAGAGCTAGAAATAAAATTGAACGCAGTTTCTTATCTGCCTCCGTTCGTCTCATTCCGTTAAACTTTCTTTTCTCCTCGTTGATACGCTTTTCTTCGGGGGTTTCGTACTGTATCATTGCGTTTCTATTCCTTGTCTCTCTGCTAGCTCTGTCCGTGTCCGACTCGCTTCCTGTAACTTGTTCCAAAATGGGGATTTGCGTTTCTGGAACCTCTGGTCCGTGTAGTCTCTCTATGTCCTGATTTTCCTTTGCAATAATCGCCAATTGAAATTGGTCGCTCCATTGGGTCCAGGCATGAGGTGGCTCTAAGGAGTGGTTAGGCCAGAAGGTGGGATTCCTCGCACGTTCGAATCATTAGACTGCGCCATTATAAAGTATTCTAATTCTAAGAGCTATGTACAACTAATGTACAGTAACTTAAAAAGATAAAACGGATAAAATGGAGTGTATTAATTCAAAACGTTTTAAAAGGACAACTGAACGAACACTCTATCAACTAAGTTAACTGGTATATAATTAATACCGAAGGTCATTTAAAACAGCTAAAAACAAATCACAACATCACGCAAAACCAGGTACCTTGATTAATGATCTGAATGGATTGAGTATTATATCAAATCAAAGCCCTTTCAGTTGTGATTCGAAAGACGTTTAATACTTTTCGAAAATCTGAAAAAAAGTTTAAAAAATTCAGATTAGACATTAAGTCTGACTTCGAGCGAAAATAGCAAGCGAGCAGGCTTCTTATAGGAGGACAAGCAGGTCGTGAAATTTTTACTCAAGTCCAGAAAAGATGACAAAACTCCAGTAAAAATAGGTGTAAATGATTTTTTATCGCCATCTTGAAAACAAAATACATGAACTCAAAAAAATCTAAAAAAGAAGAAAAAGTTCAGAAACAATGTGTAATTTTTCATCAGTTTTGAAAGAAAACTGCAATACAAAACACCTGTTGAGCTATGGCTAGGAATATGTCTAAGATTTAGGCTTTTTTCAGATCTTTTTACCACACCAAGCCCAAAAAACGACAATATTTTGGAAAAAAATGAAAAACTATTTCAAATATTTCTTATAAACATGGCCGGAATTTTCTGTGGTACTTTCTTGCAATTTTTTTGGTAAAAGCTTTTTTTAAGCACGCGTTTTTTGAAAATATTGCCTGTAGCACACAAAATTTGGACAAAATAAAGCCTTTTTAGTTATTTAGGAGTTTGTCTTCCTTTTATCAGAAGGAAAGGAGCTCAGGCCAAAAAGAACTCAAAAACCAAATTGCTAAAAAAATCAGTTTGAGCCTGAACAAACTTTAAAACTTTTACTGAAAAAAGACGATAAAAAATCACGCCCTATGTAAGAGTGTGAACTACGTTCATGGACTCTTAATCAGACTGAACAAATTAGTTGCAACTGAACACACACCTGCGTCCTTATAAGGCAAATCATTAAGAGTGACGTTCTCGATCTTCTCCTCGTGGTCTTGTGAGCCGTCGTGGTATCTGTAGATGTTGAACATGATGTCATCACTGTGCTCTCCGAATGTCTCCCAGGTGATCTCGATCTCAGTCTGCGACACAGGAGTCGTCTCCACTTGCACCACCGGGTGAGCGCCTAATTTCACAAGAAAGTCAGAAGAGCAGGAAACTAAGCTGCAGTTTCTGAACTTTAAAATAAAGCCCTGTTTTTCCACTAAAGCTCGGGCAATTTGATACAGCTTCTGCACTTTATGCTACAGGTTATAAGCACTTGGAAATAGAGCCTTGTTTTAGAGCCCAGAAAGCATGTTTTTCCCAATCTGAGAAGTTTGTATCAATGAACAAATTTTTCAGTTCGTTGGAAAACCCTAAAACTAAAATTCACTTTTGAAATTGAAAATCAATTTCGGCTTGTTTTTACCGTAACTTTCAAGTTCAATTCAAACTCATTCGCTGAAAGAAATGAAAAAATCAAGCCTCAAACAGCAAAATATCAAACAAAAAACAAAACGCGACCCCTATTAGCGTCTTCACTACGTTCTAAACACTAAAAAACTAAAGAACTTTTATAAATTCATCTCGGTTTATCTCAACTAGAAATCATCCAGACCAAATCATTGCATGAAAAAAAAACACCCACTAGAATTGGCAAGGAAAAAATCGCAAGAAATAAAAAAACATAGCCCGTAGCAATGAAACAAAGAAAAACAGCAACTAAGCCGGTAGTTATTTAGCAGACACCCGTTTAGCCAAAAAGTCATCAGAAATTCAACTTCTTGAAAAAAACTTCACTTCCTTTCAAAGAACGCACACATGCAAAATGACGCAATTAAATTTCAATATAACTTCAAAAATAGAATTTTGGGAACATTTTCAAGCAATATTTCCTTTAAAAAATTTAAAGACCCAATAAGAAAACTTGAAACTGTTTTGAGGTCTAATTAATAGGCTACGCTACGCACTTATCGCAAAAAAAATTAACACCGCACAAAAATCATAATCCTAACCTGGCCAAAACTTTCATAAACTGAAACCCTTGTGAATTTCATGTAAAACAATCACAGATATAACTTAAAATATCTTTCAAAACCTGAACTCAAAACTTAATTGAAATTCAGAATGTAAAAAAAACAGAAAACAATTATTTCTGACAGAAACTTAGTTAAGTGATACTGATAATCTAAAAATGTACAAAATAACCGGCTTCAACTAAATAATAGCCAAAAATAGACCTACAAGAGGAGGAGGAACAATGACACAATTGAATGATCAAATTATTTTAGTAGTCCAAGGGAGGTTAGTTTACCTGTACCAATAGGTGTTTTTTTTTCGAATTCTCAGGGAAAAGACTCATCACTGTAGACTGAAACGTACCACTTAGGTATGATTTTGAAAATGTAGAAAAACTATGCAACGAAATGGAACGTTTAATAAAATACGAAATACCAGTCTTTGTGTAAACTGAATTAACTGGCTATATCGTATTTAAATCCAATCAGCGATAACAGTTTTGAATTCCAAAAATTATCTGCCATTAGAATCAGCAGCATCCTAAAAACGAGAATTGACCGTTTTACAAGTAAGGAATAATACAGTAAGGAATCGTAAGAAGTAAACACCGCACAAAAATTGTAATCCTAATCTAGCCAAAATTTTTATGAACTGAAACCCCGTGAGTTTCATGAAAGGAATCACAGGTATCATTTAAATTATCTTTCAAAACTTGAGCTCAAAACTTAATTGAATTTGAGAAAATATAAAAACAGCGTCAAAAAAAAACATTTCTTACAGAAACTTAGTGAGGTGATACTGATAATCTAAAAATGTACCAAATAACCTGATTCAACTCAATAATAGCCAAAAAAGACCTACAAAAGGAGGAGGAACAAGAATGCAATTGAATGATCAAGTTATTCTAGTAGTCCAAATGGAGGTTAGTTTACCTGAAAAAGGTGTATTTTTTAGTTCTCAGGGAAAAGACTTATCTCTGTAGACTGATAGGCACCACTCACTGGGTACATCCTATTTAAATGCAATCAGCGCTAACAGTTTAAAATTCTGAAATTAATCTGCCATTAGAATCAGCAACATCAAAAAATGATAGTCTTACAGTAAGGAATATTGATTTTCTTACCAGTAACAAACTTGAGAGTGAATGTTTTTCTGATCATTGTCCAAGCTGAATGAAAATTGAAAACCACTTGCTAACGAGAGCTATGAAGCCCCTTCTAACGCGCTGCGTCCTTTTTGTTGTAACAAAAAGGTAACAGCGAAATTCTAGCAGCCTCAAAAGTGAATCGAAAAGTTTCGCATTTTGTGAATCTGGCCAATTTTGATATCGCTTATGATGAATTTCAGAAATATCTGCACCAAATAATTTTGCTCATTTTTAAAACTCCATAAAAAGATGAAAGCAAACGCACCATGGTTCAAAAGAAGTCTAATAAAAGCTAACATTAACAAATATCAGTTACTTATTTTGTGGAAGTGTGATAAAGATAACAGAGTTAAACTGAATGGGTTCACTGGTGAACAAATGAAGTCAAAACATTGTTAGGAAAGATAAAAAAATCATCTATTACAAAACATTTAAAAATTGCATAAGAAACTCGAAATAGGTATTTAAATTTTTAAATGAATCAATCAAAAAAAAGCGAGAGTATCTGCAGTTTCTGCCATTAATCACAAATGAAAAAACACCTAGTATGCTAGTGAATTAGCTAATACCTCATTGAGTTTGTTTTCTTTATTGGGACAAAGCTGGCAGATAATGTTGAAAATGTTGATAAAAATTTCAATTTTCAAAGTGGTCAATTTATCTTGCTGATAGTTCGTTGCATGAAAAAACCAGTATTATTCAGGCACTCAAACCAAAACAAATTTGCGAAATTGATGAAAAAAGCGATACCAATCCACCATTCAAAACAGGATTGTTTCGTTATTCACTTAAGTATGCAAAAGATTGTCTCTTCATAACTTTGAGAGCAAAAGGGATTTGAACCATTTCCGACCATTATCGTTGCTCACAAGCTGCAATTAAAAAAATTGAAAATGTAATGCCTATTAGATTTTAAAAAACTCGAAAAATTCTACTTGCTCTATGAACGCCAATTTGAGTTTTGTCAAAAATATGCCACAGTAGCTGCCTTAGCTGAATTGAATAAGCGCTTAAGGCTCCGTTTTGATACAAATTTAAAACACAGTTTTCTCATTGATTTGAAAAAAAACCTTCCATACGCCTGATCACAAAATCTTGATTTCTAAATGAGGAAACCATTTGGACTCAAAGCAAATGTAAAAATTCTGTTCATAATTATTTATCTGAAAGATATCAATGCGTGTACGTCAACGATGCCCCATTTGATTGGTTATTTACTGCCACAGGTGTTCCACGGGGCTCGATACTGGGCCCCTTTTGTTTTAAATTAATATCTATGGTATGAATTTTGCAGCCATTAGTGCTAATGTCTTTCTTTTGCCGATGGTACTGATGAGACTTCCAACAATCCAAACCCAGTAGACTTTCAGCTAGACTTCTGCGAATTTTTCTTGTTGAATTGCAACAATCTAACTTAAAACTCTGATGAAAACTTTTTTGATTAATTTCGATAAAAATAGAAGTGATTTTAAGCTTATTATAAAGTCAATCAAACAGTTATCGACAATAGAATTCCTACTGTTCATGAGCTCTACGTGTATGTTATTCTAAAACGTTATTTCGTTCCTTGACTCAACGAAATCAGACAACTTCTTTGAATTCCATGTTTTCTTTAAAAACTTAGGATAGTAATAAAAGAAAATCGAGTTCTCGTACTTATGATTTTCCATTCGGTAACAAAAAGAAAGTCAAGCTCATTGGCACATAGAAATTACTTTAATGACACTTTCAAAATAAGTTATTTAAAACGTCAATAATCTACTTCCTGAAAAAATTTAGTATAAGTGCGATGATGAAGAAACTTTGTTCTTTAAAACAAATAAATATAATTACATACGTGGCAGTTGTGATCTTGTGCATAGAAAATGTCAGCAAATTTTTCCCATAAAAAGAACAAAATTGAAATCTTTGATTAAAAGCTGTCAGAAGTTTCTCTGTGGTTGCGAATCTATCCAGAAAATATCGCCGTATTATTCTTCTTAGTCTTCCAGGAATTGCGTTTTTCATGACATTTAGGTGATTTTTCAAACAATTAATTTTTTCAAATTTTTAAGATCTTTAAGAACTTTCGAATTGTGAAAAAAAAATACATGGCTTTACATTACGAGGCGAAACTGTGCACTGGATAGATGCACAAGTTTGTGTCTGTATTTTCCTGGATTCCAGAGACAAATCATTAAACTTGTTCCAAAATGTAGGTGGTTTCCACTTACAAATGTTTCGTGGATACCGCTTACAAATACCTGTAACGTAGATTTTGTCGGCACATTTGTTTTGGTGCGGATTCCGCAACAAGCTAATTTAGCTTGTTGTTTTGGATTCCGGAACTAAACGTGGATTCCACAAAATGTAAATTCCACTGTGGATTCTGTTTACAATTTGCGGATTCCACTTATATTTTGCGGAATCCACTTACAATTTGCGGATTCCACTTACAGTTTGCGGATTCCGCTTACAGTTGCGGATTCCACAAGACCTCAATTCAGCTACACACATGTCTCATTATTTGTTGGTGGATTCCACAAAATGTTCTTGATTCCGCAAATACACTTGCGGATTCCGCAAATTCGCTTACTTTTGGAGCAATTTTGAGCGGTACATTGTTTCAGGTTACTGTTTTTGGAATCCAAAAGAGCAAAGAAGATAAAAAAGTAGCAATGTTGCGGATTCCGCAACAAATCTGATTTTGGCCTGTTGCAGAATCCGTTTACAAGACACAAAATGCACAGTTTGACCTCGTAATGTAAAGCATTTGAGTTTCGGGAACAATTTATGAGTGACATTTCTTAGTATATTTAAATAAACTTGGAAAAACTGCATCAACTGCTAAAGTTTTTTTTTGCGCCGAGAAATCTGAAAAAAAAATCCACTTGCAAAACACTTGTCAACCACGTTTTTTGTCACCTTAGCACTTTTTCTGATTAATAGTGGATACGGGTTGAGCTCACAATGAAAATTAGCGATAAAAATGGGAAAAAAGCGTTTCTCATCGATCAAAATGAGCAAAAAAATGCGGATCGAACCCCTATTCGCCAGATTTCTAGACATGTATGCTACCTCCAAGCTATCAATCCTTATAAAATTAAGGTTAAAAGGCTTATCAACTAAAACTCTCAATTGAAAGCCACGAAAGTGAATTAAAATTTCTTAAGTTTTAGCGATGATTTTCTACGGAATCATTACTGAAATAGCTCTGAAGAATCGCAGGTTTATCTATGAAACAAACTCTGAATTGTACATGAGTCAGCGCTGGAAAATAGCGATCACTGGAATACTACAAAACAGCGATAATTACCGGTGAGACTTCAACCCGGGGAGTTTGTTTTCCTTTTAACAAAGGAGATGAGGTGAACTTAAAAGTCAAAATGTCAAACCGCGAAAAAAATTTGAACGTGATAATTTTCTGACTTTTAGCTTCAAAAAACAAATATATAGGAGTATTCACTACGGTCGTCGACTGATAGTCAAAGTTGCCAATAATCAAAATTATGAGCCTTAATTTAAAGTACACAGATCAATTTTAAAAATTGAGCGTGAGAGAATAAAGGGTCATAAAAGCAAAAGCAGGACCAAAATATTCCCAGGAATGTTTCAAAATATACATTAGCCCAAAACAAGAATTTCTTAGTACTAAAACACATGACTATCGGTGAAGATAGAAACATGCCAAAAGTTGACCTGTGACGGCTGTTGAGGTTATAGGATCACTGTAGAAGGTAGTGTTCACTGCATCACTTCCGATTTCCTTCACTTCACACACCTTGAATGACCTGGCCTTCACAGTGTAAGAGCTCCCAGAGTCTAGGTTGTCAAAGCTCTTTCTCGGCTCCTCGTACGCCCAATCGTTTCCATAAATTGAATGGTAGACAATATCAAAATAATTCTAAACAGAACAAACCTTAATTGATTTATCTTGCAATGCGTTTCTTAGGTTTCGTCGGTAGCTTTAATTGGTATTTGGAATTCACTTATTAATTTCAATGAAAGGGATTTTAAGATTAAGACAATTTATCCACAAGGAAAAAGAGCAACATACGAGCTGTTCAGCTCTTCACGGAGGAGTGCTATTGGGCACCAGTTCAGCTGCTTCACCCTTAAGCAACGTGCTTTTCAAACTTAAAACTGATCTTTAGTGCTCGTTTTTCAAACTTCAATTTTATGCAAAACCTAATTTTAACTTTTGTGCTCATTCTTCATCTTTTCGGAGCGGAAAATGCGAAAGATTCTTATTTGCCCATACATTTTCAGTAGAAAAATGCGATATTCGTAATTTCCGCGAAACACCACTTTGAGACATTCGTCGCCATAATACCGATTTTACTGTTCCGACTTTCGAAGATGATGCGGAATATCTATGCTTGGTGTGGTTTTTGTTCCGACTTTCGAAGAAAGTGAAGAAGGTTATGCTTGGTGTGGTTCTTTTTTCATTTCAGTCAATTTTCGACATGTTAACTGACTGTTTTGACGGAATTTGTTATACCAACTGAAAGATATTGTTATTTTTAAATGAATTTAAAAAAGATAATTTCCTTGTGATTTTTTTTTCGTAAAGTTACGGGCGTTTAAAAGTTTCTAATTTGGCCGATTTGCAATAATTAAAAAGCGATATAATGAGTACTTATAACACGCGTAAGAAGTAAATTAATGCGACCCTAATTGAATTGAGGCAAGCAATTTAATCATAATATCACAATACGAGACGCTAAAGATGCCCTTAAAATTTTACATGGGGGGATAAAATGAAGAACAGACAAATTTTCTTTTTTTTTCAAACATTTAGTCAACCATTCAAAAAAAAATCATTTCAATTGACCTTAAGTGCAGTCGGAACAATCAGGGCTTTGCCCTGTTATACGAGCAGTCTTGTTGTTCGAACTGTCAATTAACGGAATACTTGCGCTCGGGGTGGTTTTTTCTTCAGACAATTTTCAACTTTTAAACTAGCCATTTTAAATATCATTCAAAAGGTATTGTTGTCCTGAGCTTAAATTTGAAAAGATATTTTACCTGTGATCATTTTTCGTAAAGTTTAAAGATTGACTTTTTGGCAAATTTGGGACAATTAACGCGCGATATAATTCGCGCTATTAACGTGTAGGCAGAGATTCACTCCGTCTTCGAATCATTCCATTTTGATTAAAGAAAGCTTATTCGCTGAAATTAAATTGTTACTAGGAGCCACATTAATCGCTTTGTACTTTATTTGGCGTGTGAGGGGATGATTTTCACAAAATCCAAAATTTAACAAGACTACTCGTATCAAGGCGAAGCCATGAATATTCCGACTGCTTTTAAAGTCTTTGGAGCAGTAATAACGTTTAAAAAATGTTTTTAAAAATGGTTCTTTATTAATTTAAAACTTTTTGTGAAAATCATCCCCCCACATGCCATAAAAAGTACAACGTGATAGATTTCGCTAATTTTACAAACCAATTATGGCAAATAAGCTTTCTTTAATCAAACTGGAACGATTTTTAAGACGGAGTGAATCTCCGCCTACACGTTAAAAACGCGAATTATATCGCGCGTTAATTGTCCTAAATTGACCAAAATGTCAATCTTTAAACCCCTATAACTTTTCGAAAAATGATCACAAGTTAAAAACTTTTCAAATTTAAGCTCAAGACAACAATAATTTTTGAATGATATTAAAAACTTCCGTCAAAAATGACTATTTAAAAGTGGAATTGTGTCTGAAGAAAAAACCACCCGGAGCACAAATATTCCGTTACTTGTGTTACAAAAGTCGGAACAAAAAAATCATTTCATTTATTACATTTAATGTTTTCATATCATTACATTTTCATAGATCTTAAAAGGCCGTCGGAAAATTCAAGGTTTCGCCTTGATACGAGCAGTCTTGTTATTCCGAATTTCGATACGAAAGTAACGGAATATTTGTGCTCGGGGTGGGTTCTTTTTTCTTCAGAAAAATTTCGACTTTTTGACTGGCCGTTTATGACAGAATTTTTTTTATTCGAAAAATATTGTTGTCCTGAGCTCAAATTTGAAAAGATATTTCACCTGTGATCAATTTTCGTAAGGTTACGGGGGTTTGAAGACTGCCATTTTGGCCAATTTGCGACACTTAACGCGCGATATATTTCGCGCTATTAACGCGTAAGCGGAGAGTTAATCCGACTTAGACATCGTTCCAAAATGGCTGAAAGAAGCTTATTTGTCATAATTAATTGTTACAAGGAGCGAAATCTATCCTTTCGTATTTTATATGACGTGTGATGCTTATCATAAAAAAAATTCAAATTTTAGAAAAAATTTTTTCATTTAGTTTTATTTAATTTAAATTTTGAAATGTGATTACTGCTCCATAAACCTTAAAAGGCAGTCGGAACATTCAGGGCTTCGCCCTGATACGAGCGGTCTTGTTTGGGTTTGTATTTTCTGTTGCATGTTTTCATATGCACTGAACTAATTTTGCATGTTTTCCAGCTAAACACTTGTGTTTAGACGAATTTTGAACTGTTCGGTATGTTGATATACAATATAGCCAAAATATTCAACAAGAAACAATTTGAAGTTATGGCAATAATCCACTAGATGGTTGAAGCATGTTCTAGTGGAAAAACTAGCGCGCATGATACTTTTTCTTGCATCACGCAACTTGACGCTAGAGGAAATTTGAAAATATGTTGTATGTATTTTGATACACAAGTCTCGTTCAAGCTTCAGGCAACTAATAAATATTATAACAAAACCTCGATTACAGCAAAAAAAAACTATAGATCTATGATCTATCTGCCTTTAGATCTGTTTATTTGATATTTGATGATCGGCCAAAATTTGTCGCTCGTATAATCCACCAAATCACAGCCAGTGCATAAAACCAGCATTAAAATTATTCCAATACCTCCAATCCCTTAACGAGGAATATACTCTGCAGGTTTGGTACAGCGACAGCACTACAAAACCCAATATCGCAGAACCTAGTTATATTTTATTTAACGATTATTATATATAACGATTATTATTATATAATATTTTACGATTCAGTTGTAAAAATTATCATTGAAGAAGCAGATGTTGAAGCCAACAAATACCACAAGCCTTTAAAAACATCTCCTTCGAACGAGTCAAAAACAACGCTTAGATAACATTGTATTTTGTAGCTACTGCCGTACAGAAACCGAGATGTTAAGAAGCTGTTGAAATTTTCAAGGTTCTAGCCCAGTTGCAATTGTCTTCTCGAAAAATCTTATTTCTGGTTATCTTAACCAGTGCATGTAACGCCTTGTGACAACCACAGAAACTTCTAGTAACTCAAACTGTAAAACAGTGATTGTTAATTGTTTAACTCAGAATTTCTACTATTTAAGATCCCTTTGTTTTAGCTCAAATCTACCGGCTTAGTTCAATACACGTGCACCTCGATCTCGATCGTGCACCTCTCAGACACATGATACAGGATCGAGTGATGGCCATGCTCAATCGGTTCCTCAGCCAGCTTGTTGTGATAGGGCGTGGAATGTCGAGTTTTTCTGATAGTAGGGTGGCAAGTCGTTTCACTAGTGCTTGTGTGGCAGGAGCCTGACCCCCAGAGGTTGATGAAACTATTGGGCAGAACGAACGACGCACCTTCAATTTCGAGCACTCGCGATTCGTAATTCCTCCTTTTTTATATGTCTCCTCTTCCTGTCTTCTTTTATATCGGCACTTATGGCCTTGACAATAAATAGATAACAATATAAGAACAAAGTACATAGCATCAAAAATGCTGCAACTGGCGTAGCAAAGACTATGCATGCGCTCACGGATACTACAACCTCAGTACTGGATTCTACCGAGGACCAAAAAATTTTTATCAAATTACTATAAATAAAATTTTAATAGAAAAAATAGGAGTGTTTTAGTTTTATAGAATGAGACGTCCCAATCTTGTTTCCGTCGGTTTTTCAGTTTGCGTTTGAAAATTAGCTAACATGAATCTGTGATGATTAGCAATATCAGAATCTGTGATTTCTTTTACGGAGTGTGTTATTGGGCTCCCGAGTCTTTAAGTTCCTTGGTTCTTGTTTGAACTGTTGCTGCGTCTGACTTTAGAACCTGTTGAGACCCTACGCTAGATTCGTCCGAGTGTAGGTGGGGTGTTAAGTCCGACAGCACTGGAATTTTCTGATTCCTCTGTTTTTAGGACCTGATACCCAAGTTTCTGCCATTTTTCGGGAGCCATGTCTTAAGTTTGAAAGGTATTTAATATGGTGTTTAGAGAAGTCTCTCTGTCTATCTTCTTTAAATTTTGTAAGCTGCTGTAATTTTTCGTCCAGGAACTGCTCGGTTCATCGCTATCTCTCGGCCTTTTTGTTTCAGGCATCTTGGACTGGTTTTTTTAAGACGGTGCCGCGGCAGCTTTATTCTTCTTTTTTTCTTGATTAGTTTTTTTTCGGTTTAAGCTGAATGGCAACTTCTTTCTGTGATTTTGTTCCCACCGATGCTGGTCTCCCCTTGTTACCTTTTGCTCTTTTGACGGCCAGGTTAAGGTCACCTCCTACTACGTTTCTTTTGATGTCACTATTGTGTTTTTAGTTTGAAACTTCTCTTCGAGTAAGTCCTATTCCGTCTTGATGCTGTTGCAGCGTATGTGCCTATGAGTCAATCTGCAGCGGGGGTTCAATCTTTTGGCGCTGGTGTTTGCGTTTCGATTCTCCGAGGGGTATTAATTACTTAACGTTTTGATCCCTTTTGGCCACGAATTCCGGTCCTGAAACCAAAAATTTAGCCCTATCTATATCGCTTTTACGGCAAATGGAAACCTCTGCTGTCTTGCAATCGTAGGAGTTTCCGACACAACGCTATTCTCTAAAGGGTTCGTTAGTGCCTTTCAACTATTTGTAACCCCATTTTTTTGCAGTAGGTGTGGAAAAAGAT